ACACCCTACTGAATAAGCCTAAGAACAAAGGCTAATTATGTTGAGGCTGGTAGAACAGAAGGTTTTCAGAAAAGAAAGGCACTCTCCCCTCACACAGTACTTAGAGTTTTCTTTCTTCTCTTTTCCTTCCAATCCTCTAAACCATGCACCCTGAATCAACTGCTCCCTCCCTTCTTCCTGTTTTTGCCTTCACTTCTAGAAACTGACAGTTTTCCAAAAGTCCTCATTATCACCCCAATGCAAAATATTTAAACACTTAAGATCACAGATTTGCTACATATACCAATATCCACCATTTCTCCAACCTCCCAGATTGGAGTTCTTTCTCTTCTTTCCACATATCAGCACCTTTTAAAAAGAATATTTTAATGAAAGCAACAAAGACAAATTTACAGTTTTACTGAAGGTCACCCTGCTTCCATAAAACTCCTTGATAATAAAGTATCCTAAATCTCTTTTTTATCCACCAAACTGCTTAGCAGTACATGTATTAGTGCTCAATAACTACTTTTTAATTAATTTACCAAAAAAAGTAGACCCAATTAATTTATTCCAAGAAAAAGAAAAAAGAACAGGAACATCTGGCTAACTTAATATTTGGTTAAATGAAAGAAACTGTCGAAATAAAATGACAAGTTCTATTGATGCAAGGGTATTCCAACAATGGTTTCAGACTCAGATGTTGATAATATGGGGACTTAGTTATAACATCTCATATTTATTTACTGTTTTGTGAGTTTCAAAGAGCCTCTATCTATTACTTTATCTGAGCATTCTTCATGTGAGATATCATTTTTAGGTATAACAAGTTTATACAATGACATTGGTAAATAATTTGAGAGACAGTATATGATCAGAGTTCATTCACAAGCAAATATTCAATTGTAAGTTGATTTGAAGCTTTAAAAGAAAAAAGAAAGAAAATGAAAATGAAAAATAAAGAGAATGGAGTCCATTGTATTAGGCCGGCCAGATCTGGAACACTTGTGTTTATTTCTGCATGCTATATTGTAAAAGGGACACTGTCAAAACAATGTATCAGACAAAGGCAATCAAGATGATGTCTGGAAATTATCTTATATGAAAAACGTAAGAACTGGAAATGTTTAGCCTATAAAAGAAAAAATTTCAGAGATGATATAGACATCTTTAAATTCAAGGGCTGTCAAGTGAAAAAGTGGGGTAAGATTCTTTCCCTCATGGTACTGATAGCAGAACTGGGGCCAACGAGCAGAAATTAAAAAGGCAAAGTAATCAACATAAGAACACAGAGGATTTTCTAATATCCCCCTTCCATTTTCTCCAATCTTCCAGGCTATTCAACACAAAGAATTTTCTAAAATCTAAAGTTGTCTAATAACAGACTGAACTACCTGTAAATTAGATACCTAAAGAGTTTCTGATGTTCTTCCTCAGGAATTCTGTAAGAGGAATTTTTAAATTGGCAGGATGAGCCAGATAACTGACCTCTATAAACCCTTCCAACTTGAAGACTCAAGGATTCCATGTTCTGAGAGCAGCCCAGGAATCACTGATCAAGTCCCACTCAATTTATTTGTGTAACCAACTTATCTTTCAAAATATGAGATAACTAAATATATAATTTCCAAAAGATATGGGTAAACAACTAAAATCTAATCTATAGTGATTGGTAATGAGCATCCCCAGAACCTAGAACAACACCAGGCACAGAGTAGGAGCTCAATAATATGTATGATTTAATGAACGATGTAACTATCTAAAAGTTAGGCAATTCTGACAGGTTTCCAAACATTTTTATACAAGTTAGCTCTTTGAGATTCAGCAACAACCTTCTGAGGCAGACTAGGCAGTTTATTTTTTTTAATTTTTTTTTAATTTTTATTTATTTATGATAGGCACACAATGAGAAAGAGAGAGAGGCAGAGACACAGGCAGAGGGAGAAGCAGGCTCCATGCACCGGGAGCCCGACGTGGGATTCGATCGCGCCCTGGGCCAAAGGCAGGCGCCAAACCACTGCGCCACCCAGGGATCCCGACTAGGCAGTTTAGTATGCCATTTTATACACCTTATTTTGTTGCCCTTTCCCAAGAATGCTCTTCAGTTAACATTATGCTTTTAGGTTTCATCATAGATTACAAAGAAAACTTCATCACAAGAATATCTTACAGAAAATCGCAAGCAAAACACCACTGTCCATCACGCTCCTCACACAACAAACAAAATTATAAATTTTCCTGCAATTAATGACAAAAAAAACATTTGCCTTGCCATACTGGTTTGTCTGCTCTGCCCTCCTTCCCTTCCTCTTTTCTCTTTTCCTTTCTTTCTTTCTTTTCTTTTTTTTCTAAATAAGATAATGGGAACTTTATAAACAAACATGGTTCCTTTTTTTTCCTTGGAACTTGCCAGAAAGTTCAACCTTGTGGCTCTAATTTTGACATCCCAAATTCCTAACATAAATCTCTCCAACATTCTAACACATTAGGACTTAGAAACTTTTTTGTTTTTAGAGTAATGGAATTTTGGGTTTGAAAAAAAATATTACTTGGAATCTTGATATATAAAACAGGTAAAAGTACAGCTATTGAGAACAGAGCTCAGAGCCCTCCCAACTAAGCCTCCCTCAAAAATTCTCTATGCACAGGTAGCCCTAGATCCCAATGATTGTCTTTTGAAAACTACTGTTCTACATATTTTCAGTTATTTTAGCTGCCTTGTTTTGTGCATTTTTATTACAAACTACATGAAAATGTTTCAGTACTAGGCACATGAAAAGTGTGTGTATTTGTATATACGCTTACACATGAGAAAATGTAAATGTTAGACATTAACAATAGGTAGCCAATGAGTGGAGCCAAGATCATAAACCAAAACTGACTTCAGATTCAAGCAATACCTAGGTTTATTTTTTTTGTTTTTTTTTAATTTTTATTTATTTATGATAGTCACACAGAGAGAGAAACAGAGGCAGAGACATAGGCAGAGGGAGAAGCAGGCTCCATGCACCGAGAACCCGATGTGGGATTCGATCCCGGGTCTCCAGGATCGCGCCCTGGGCCAAAGGCAGGCGCTAAACCACTGCGCCACCCAGGGATCCCAATACCTAGGTTTAAATCTCAGCTTCTCACTGTATAAAGCTGAGAGTTATTTTACCTGTCTTGGCTAAAATTTATACACATATAAAACAGTTACAATCATATCTATCTTACAACATTGCTTTGAGGATTAAATGAAACAAAGTTTGTAAATAATTCTATACAATACTTGACACATAACGGATATTATTATCTTCATTACTTTTTGACACTTAAGCCTCTGGTCTGGTCAATATGTTATGCCAATAGAAAATCTTTTTAAAAGAGGGGAGGGGTGTGTGGGAGACACCAAGTCTGGAACCTGGAAACCACAGGGACAACAAACAGTCTTGGAAAGCAAGAGTAGGATAAGACCGACCAAGAGAAAGAGTTAGCCTGGTATTCATTAATAATTTTGAGGGAAAAGTATAATGGTCAAACTTTTGCTAACAAAAGAAACTAGGACATCATAAAAGGCAGAAAATGAGGCTGACTCAAGGAAGTACTTAAAGATTTTGTCACTAACTCAATAGATAATGGAAAGTTTTTACTTTCTTAAGCCTTGTCCCAGACATTTTACTTTCAAGGAAACATTAGTTTGCTTGTATGTAATGAATTACAACTTCAACAGAGTGATTGGGGAAAACATTGAAGAGCATTTGTTGGCCTACCCCAGCAAAACTGCCCTCCCACTAGTCTGTCAAACCCCTACAACAGGAAATCTTTTAAAGCAATGTTTTAGCTCTACCACTGACATCTACCTATAAACTAATGTGATGCTTGGCATGGAAGATTGTTTATTTGGGTGTGTAAAGTTTCTGGCTGTTAACTTGGAGAGAAAAGTTATTACTCTACTTCCCTTCAGGGACCATCCAAACACTTGTTTGACAGGGTAAATACCCATTAAACACAAAAGTAGGATTGAGCCAGACTTCTGCAAAACTAGTAGGTGAACTTGTCGCTGACACTTCCTTTCCACCTCTCCTGTCTGTGAGCCCCATCCCTTATCCCCAGTGGTCCCACTACTCAATCCAGGTAACTATCTGAACTCTTTTTGCCAGGACTTTCCTATATCTAATTGTCATCTGATGCCCTTTCTCCCTTTCCCTTATCCTTTCAAGCAGGTTATAGCTGATAAGTGTTCCCAAAAACATTTAGGCCTTAACTGATACTTAAGAATGTCATGCTGAAAGGTCTTCAGAACTTAAAGCAATAAAATCCAACTAACAAAATTTGAGGTTCCAGGACACCTGGGTGGCTCAGGGGTTGAGCATCTGCCTTTGGCCCAGGACATGATCCTGGAGTCCTGGGGTTGAGTCCCATATTGCGCTTCTTGCATGGAGCCTGCTTCTCCCTCTGCCTTTGTCTCTCCCTCTCTGTGTCATTCATGAATAAATAAATAAAATCTTTAAAAAAGAAATTGAGGTTCCATGATGGGTCTGAGGGAGATGTTTATAGACTCATACAAATTAATCACCCCATCAGTGACCATTTACTACCTTTACTTTCAAGGCTGACCTGGAAAGAAATAATCATTTCCTTAGAGACACTTAAAGAAGGAAATTATCATATATATATAATATATATTATACCATATATTTATAATGTATACAGTAAATATGTATATATGTGTAACTACATAGTGTATTTAGGGTAATGTGTCTATACATATATAGTACTTATATATAGTATATACTATATAAATATAGTATAATAGATAACATATATATTGATAGCATATATACACACAAAGTATGTACCACATGGATAGTGTATCTATATATATGATTTATAAATTACAGTATGTGTGTGTATATATATATTTATATTTATAGAAAAAGAAAATTATCATATATATATGTATATATATATATATATAAAATTTCAAGCACACTCAAGTGCTATAAGTTTTACTTTCTTTTTTTCCTTCCTTTTTTTCTTCATGTTAGACAGGTAATGTGCCAAGGTTGTAGCAAGATTTGAGGGAGGTACTGTCACCACACAACAGAATGAATATCCTATATCATCATGCTTATGAACTACAAATGAATCCAAGTCCTGTAAAGTTTTTAAAAATATTTAGGAAATTTATTTTGTAAGTCACACAACATTTACAAATGTTCCCATAATCATATTTTGGCTGGGTGCAGATTCACTCTACATTATGAATTAAGGATGTTTCTCCACTAACAGCTCATTTCTAACGAGAATCTTCCACAGTAATGTAGTTAGGCAGCCAGGTAACCTCCAGAGAGCAGGTTCTTAAATTCCCATGAATACAGTTCTAAGGCAGAGTTGCCAGAAACAGCAAGTCACAGATTCCATGACTCCCACCCTTTATTTTATACTGAAGAGTATAGGATACCTCACAAGATACACACATAGGCCAAAGACCCAAGGGATGATTGCAACTTGATAACAAGTTCAAATCATTTAAATCCAGCAAAGTAGATGCCCTGGTATGAAAAGATGCAGGATATGGAAAGATGGAGAATTGGGAAGAATTAAATCTAAAAAACAGAATATGAAGAGGAAAGTAAACCAGGCACTTAGAAGACCAAGGGGGAAAAGGTATAATTCAAATACTTCATGTATAACTATTATAACAAGATGACAGAGGGTATTTTTTAAAAGCCTTAAAGTAGAGACACTCAGTCCAAAACATCTGTGGAATTGGGAAAAAAAAAAAAAAGACCTTATTGCCAACATCTCCATTCTGCTTCCCTCCCTCTTCAGCACCAACAATGAGCAATACATTAAAAAGGTGTTTAGACTGTCAGTAAATATGATTGATTTTTTTCTACTCTGCTAAAAGCCTGCTACACGGTGGAACAAAAGCAAATGCTTTCCTCATATCCACGTCTGGGTTGAACTCTTACATTATTTTAACACCCATCAAGGGATAGGTTTTTCTCTCCATGGAGACAGGGAAAGCAATCTATGTCCACAAAAAAGCTTTTTGCCCTTTCATTGTCCCCCTTTCCCTCCAGATTCCAATGGAATTTCACTCAAGACTAGAAAACCTCACCATGGAAAATTAGTACAAATGGTCTATCTATTTACTGGACCAAAATGGGATGAAGAAACATAAAAGCCTGGATAATCTTAGAACCAAGTTCTGTAAGATGGGAACAAAGCTGGGTGGAGCTAATCAGTTCAGAATAAATGGGGCTACATTTAGTGTTCTGTTTTTCCATCCATCAAGCTGACAGTAGGAATCACCAAGATAGAAATGATCATTCATTACTGAACTAGGAAAAGAAAGGCAGAACTTGGAGCCATATGCCAAAATTGAGGATCAGGTATCTTTTAATTTAGTGTGGACTGCAGATGGTAAAGTTATTACTATTAAGTAGTTATATAATTGCTTACTTAGGGTTAAAGGTCACACTTCTAACTGTAACTTTGCCAGGAATAGAACTGCCAGAAAAGGCCATTTCTTATAGAAAAGACAAAAGGGCCAGATGTAATTATAGTTTTATAATGTAAATTCCATATTCAGATTTTATATTATACAACTTTGTATTATCCTCCATATCCATTAAATAACTGATAGTTTTTGAAGGCCTTAAGTTTAATATAAAAGATCTGTAACTAAATCTAAGCATCATCTCTCAAGGGCTTTTGTAAACACTATAGTCATTATTTCCAGTTCACATGGTGCAATTCATGGTTATAGCAATATTTTTACTGCTTTTCTAAGTCCCTCCGAAGTCAAACTGCATGGGATAAAAAGTAAGGAAGGAGTTACGTTGTCTTGCTCTAATTTAGTTTATTACTTTACTCTTAGAATGAAAAGTGGATATAAGGAGGCTCTTACCTGGAGATTTCCTGGGGTAGGCAAAATTTATGGTAGTGGTACCTTTTCTGTAACTGTTCTATGTTTTTTGAGACTGAAGAACATCTGGAAAAAAATGTAACTTCTGAGAGGAACAAAACTCCAGAAGGCATATGTGTGCCCTATGATCTAAGTGATTATCAGGATCTAGGTTTATTTCCAAGATGGAATGGCTAGAATTTGTTCTATTAGAGGTTATTGTTACTCTTCTATATCGCATATTAGATAAGTACAACTTGATCAGAACTCCTGCTACCTTAGGATTTTTGAGGGGAGGAAGAAAAAAGAAAATTATTAATCATCACGTCTGGAGTAGTTTAATAATTGAAGAAATAAAGAGCACCCAATGGGTAAGAAAAAAAGTTTGTTTGCTCTATCTATTCTCAAGTCCATAAGAAATAGATATTTTACTATCTTTGTGGGTTAAGAAGTGAGAAGCCAAGATTATTACTGCTCATATTCTGAGAATAATTAAGATTTTATAAATTCTAACAAGTCAACATAATATTGTGTTCCTCATATGAACTCGGGAAGGCAAGAAAACACTTCAGCTTTCCTCAACAAACCCAGGCCAAGGCAACCTGTCTTTCTTCTTAACTTCTATAACATCAACCACACTACAGTAGTCATTTGGCACATATATAGGCCACCATCTCTATCCCACTCACCTATACAAATATAGCACATATATTTGTGCTATATTTGACACAATAGTGTCAAGACACTATAGTGTGACTGCCACCTCCAAAGTTTCAGAAAGGGAAAGTAGAACACACATTTCCTCTAGTCTTGAATGCCTGAAAAATCTCAAGGGAAATGTTACCAGCCTCACCCCTACTGGGATGCTAAGAGTACAGCACAAGGTTACTGCACTATGTCTAATATTCCTCTTCCTGAACAAATGCTCCTTCCCTCTGCCAATTCAAAGGATCTTTTACCCAGTCTGGAAACAGGCCAAGAAACCTGTTTATTGGGATTCCTGGGTGGCGCAGCGGTTTGGCGCCTGCCTTTGGCCCAGGGCGCGATCCTGGAGACCCTGGATCGAATCCCACGTCAGGTTCCCGGTGCATGGAGCCTGCTTCTCCCTCTGCCTGTGTCTCTGCCTCTCTCTCTGTGTGTGTGTGTCTATCATAAATAAAAAAAGAAAGAAAGAAAGAAACCTGTTTATTATGTTGGCATCTCCTTCTCAAACAGTCTCTATCTTGCTCCACATGGAACTTTTTGAAGTTAGAAGCTACAAATCTGGCATGTGCTGTTTACGACACTACAGTAATAAGTGACCAAGCTGTAAATGCCAAATGGGGTATGACTGACAGCTAAACTAGGAGGATGAAAAAGAGTCCATTAATTAAACTCCACATTCCATCACACCACAGATAAGTGTATATTCATCATCAACTGCAATGCCGTGAACACAGTAAATGCCCAAGAAAGGCCTGTGATTCATGATTAATCAAAGTATTTTAGACATATTTTGTATTAAAGTTCATACTAGAGAGTTGTGATACCAATCTTTCCCAATAAAATACTGCTAACATCAGAAGTACATAGAAAGTTTCTACAGCAAGGGAAATAGTCCTTTAGAGACTTGTATTTTATTTGAACAATGCACACATACCCCAGTTTGACTATTGTGAAAACCAGAAATATCAACTACCCAAAGTAGATATTCTACTGAGTAACCTCGCTGAGATATGACTATATTCTAATTCCAAAGTGAATCTCCATGTATCCATCTATATATATACAGAAACAGGCCTCCTAGGGTATGAAGGAGGAATTTTCTCTATTAGTGCCATATTAAGACAAACAATCTCATGGTACCTTTAGCATGTCAATTTCCAATGCTCTAATTCCACATTCCTATTCCCCATAATCTAATAGAGATACTGAACCATATGTGCAACTTTGATCAGCTCTTCATATGGGCAGAAAAAATATTCATCAGCCCCCAAAAGATACAAATCAGCTTGTCCTTTATAAATATAAAAATTATTGAAAACAACAGTGCTTTTACGGTTAACCAAAGGAAAATATCTATCAAAGAGCAATCTATTTCTATAGAAGCCAGGTCAACTTTCTAAGTTTGAATGCAGCTCAGCAATATAAAAATTCTTGTCTGCATTCACAGAAATTGGCATTCTTTACTCACTGAAAGCCAATAGATAACATCTGGTAATGGATGAAATAAACCAATGATTTCTTCCCAGTCACAGGGCAGACACTCTCATAAATACTTTTTTGTTAATGGATTGTTTTACTTTTAGCTCTTCCTCCATGAAATGGTATACGCTATACATTATATTTTTTCTTTTAAATTAAATAAGACCCATGAACCAGAAAATTTTGGTGCACTATAAAGGTGTATGCAGAGAGAAAAAAAAGGTTTTCTGCTGTTAATTTGCAAATATTTTCTGATTTAATCATAAGCAGCATGGTTTGAGGCTCAGAACTAGTATGAAGCATCCAAATTTATTATGCTTTATCATCTTGGGTGATTGCTTTGTTCTAGCTGGACCCCTTTTTTGTTTTGTTTTTAAAGATTTTATTTATTTATTCATAAGAGAGACAGAGAAATAGAGAGGCAGAGACATAGGCAGAGGGAGAAGCAGGCTCCATGCAGGGAGCCCAATGTGGGACTTGATCCTGGGATTTTAGGATCACGCCCTGAGCCGAAGGAAGATGCTCAACCACTGAGCTACTCAGGCATCCCCTAATGGGACCCTTCTTGTGGGCTATAGACAAGAAGTGAAAAATAAAATTAAGACCATACCAATCTTTTTTTTTAACAGCATACCAATCCTTATCATTTTTATCTTTAATTAGATCCAAAAGTATTCATAACAAATGAGAGATTTTTATGGGTAAAATACCACCAATATTCTCACTAAAGGACTTTAAATGATAAATAGGACACATTTCTTAATTTTCTACATAGAAAAGATTTCTCTCACATGTATTATTACTTTTCAGATGTACAAAGATGCTATTGTATTTCATAAAATAATAAAATATTCACTAAAAAGCTTTATTACAGTCACAATAACTGTTTTCCACTATGGATTTTCTTAAATTACAGAGAGTAAAAGTGAAACCAGTATTATGTATGTATATATGCATGTGTCCAGCAGGGGCAGGAATGACATGACATTTTGACATTCAAAAGCAGTCCTTGGGCACCTGGCTGCCTCAGATGGTAAAGCATACGACTCT